CAAACAAAATATATCAAGAATAACATCTGCCACTTCATCTGCTGTTTTTGTTTTAAGTGGTCGCAGCACCACATATTTAGTTAGATGATCTTGGTAATTGAGAATAAATTTATATTCTCCATCAGGCTCACTTTGCATGTCGATAAGGTCGACCTATAAAAAAATTGTTAACTGACAATGTAAAGAGATATAGTGGAGAAATTACCTGGCAACGTGAATTCATTTCACTCATAATTATAGGTTTCACAACTAATCCTTTACGTTTTGCTTTTTTTTTCAAAGCACAGGATTGACACAGGTTTAAATATATGGAAATTACCTCTCTAGTAATATTGCAGTATTTCTTTTTTTATTCATTTTCCATCGCCTTTTCTCTTTTATGTCCTATTTGTAAATGTGCTGTATGTATTACGTCATACATTTCACTTGCTGCACAGTAAAAAATTAAACCTGATTGTTTTCCTAAACATTCTTTGTTAACTAGTTTATCTTTTTCACCAACTGTTAATAAATCACATCGTTTTATTCTACGATACTGTTTTGATGATAATTCAAGTCCGTTCCGTTTTCTTTGTAGAGCCTCTTTGGTTTCGTGTACAATTTCTAAATAACGTTCATCTGATAATAACAACGACCTGTCCTTCTTCTCTAACATTAATTCCCGTAATATTTGTTCAAATTTACCTTTCATCTTGAAGTATTTGCGAAAACCACAACACACGACAATTTACTAGTGGTTACTGAGTATTATTTGACTACAAACGTCAGATAGTCTGTTGACAGCGTGCCTTTAACGCGTTCTGAGTAAATCGCAATACCCCGAACGCGACGTGGACAAATGAAATTCTCTATAATGCAAAACAAAAGCGCGCGAATCATTATTTCGTGTCGTGGGTAGCATAGTTTACTCACAACGCGATCTGGTTAATTAACTTTACCCATTGTCCGGAAAGAATGCTTCTAATCGCATCGTGGGTGAACTAGTATACCCATAACGCGTTGTGGACGAAAAATTCGGACAATGAGCGATTTCGGCTATTGCGAATAACATATATACTGGGGTAAAACGTATTGGAAAACATTCGATAGCCGATACTGTATTTATATTTGCACTACTGGGAATACTTTAATTGAAGCAATGATGGGAATATATCCGTGTCTGAGAATGTTGAGAGCTTTAAATTTCTTCGACGAGAAGACAGCACTCTACAAAGATATACACTCCTTCTATATAAAAACTACTTGATATTTATTAAATAAAAAATCAACAAATTTCCATATATTAAAAACAAAAAACTTTTTAAATTCCGTTTTAAAATAAATACTTACTGAAGGTTTTTTAAAAATTTACGTTGATAATAAATAATAACCTTTCACGCATATTTTGGTTTAGATAGACAGTCGATAGTTATCTTAGGAGACTTGAGTAAGGGCTGTAAAGTGATCGCCAATGAGCTCTTACCGCAAGAGTCCATTAGCGAATCATTTTAGTTTAAAGCAATGGGGGTAACGTGCGGTACGATAGCCTAACTGGATTAGCCGGCCGATGCACACGAAACTTGTGCTGAGAGTGCAAAAGGGTAAAGTCACGCGACTGCCGTTTAACCCATTTTGATCGATTCTCATGATTTCAACAGTTCAACAGCTGTGTCAAAAGTTTGTGATCAACGGATTGTTTCCAACGACGATCTTCATTATTTAGTTCAGGCGGTCTGAGCGACGCCCTGGATCTGAATCTACCATCGTCTCCACCGGATACCTATGTACGTACCAACGTAAGACAATCAGTGAGTAAGGCAAGCTAGCTGTATTTTTAAACTTTCTAACATTGCATTTCAAACGAACCGCTGATTTTGTTTTGTTTTTCATTTTCCGAACTTATATTTTGGTTTTACGGTTTCATTTGTAATGTTTATAATTTAGTATATAGTAAGTATAGGGGTCTCCTTTGTAAGGAGTTATAGTTAACAAAATCTTTTGGAGAAGGACTCACGTTTACTTTAAATAAAATTTACTTCAAAGTATAAATTCTATTTCTTCCTGAAGTAAAAACTCTACAGGGCTACTGCCCGACACTTTTGTCTAAGAGGCCTATGTACCGAAGCTACTTATTTTATGAGGTACTAGAGGCAATTATGGGCCAGCGGATAATATGGGCCACAAGCTACAGCTCAAATTATAATTTTTTCTTGTACAATCTGACAACGTCGCAGAGTTGTGTATAGCGCACTCTGTTAAAATTTCTTTGCTCAGGGACCCCGGATCATGCGTGATTTATCACGCCAGGGGTAGTATTCTCGAGTCACGAATATAGATTCGCATGCGAGATTTATGATTTGTCTCACTTGGTTTTCGTCCAACAAAGTGAGACACATTGTAAAACACGTATGCGAATGACGGTATTCGTGATTCGAGAATACTACCCCAGGGCTGTTCTCGACCGGCAGTACATATGAAATGTTTTTATAAAATTTGAAGCGACTTTGTTGATAAATTTTTAGTGATCAAAGTTTTAAAAATAAATTGCTGTCTACATAAAGGTATGTACCATATTATAAGCTATCTTTTGATATATAACTGTTGGATATTTCTACGTACATTTTTTTAACAGCAAAATTAAATTTTATTGCCGAGTTGTATAATATGGGGCAAAGTTTGGCGGGTTATATGAACCGTGGTCCATATAACCCGACATTGACCCATATTAAACAATGTGAATCGAATATATGATTTTTTTTCTTTAGGTTCGTGATGGAAAAGCCTTGCCAAAATCTTCGGAAGAAATAGACCCAGGAGAACCTTGTAAATGCTATCACGGCCGTTAGGAATGGAGTGGATCAAAGAGAAGCCTGCAGCCAATTTAAAGTGCTCAGACGCACTCTTAAAAGGTATTTAGAAGATGGTGTGAGTGTAAAACGTTTGGGCCGCCCGAGTCTTTTGACTATTCAACAAGAAAAAAATTTTGTTCGCCGAATCAAACGTTATTCGCAAGTCAGTTTACCATTTACACCAAAACTGGTGCAACATCAAATGTTTGAATATTGTCATATCAACAAGATTCCAAATAACTTTAATCAGGAGAAACAGGTTGCTGGAAAATACTGGCTGCGGCTCTTTCTCAGGCGCAATCCTGACTTGTCAAGAAGCAAGAAGAGCTCAGAATTTGAACACTGCTTGGGCACAAAAACTAAATAGAGCAATTGTATCAGACTATTTTGAAAAAATTGACGAGCTTATAACAACTTTAGACAAAAGACAAACCACAGAATGTATATAATATGGATGAGAAAGGCTGTCGCCTAACTATACATCATCAACAACGTGTATTGGCGGAGAAGGGAGTAAAACGCGTGCACATGGTTGAACCTGAACACGCAGAGAATGTAACTGTGGTAGCATGCTGTAATGCGATGGGTAATACGATTCCGCCAATGATTATCTTTAAAGGGAAGCGTTTAAAGTCTGAGTTCCTGGACAACTTGCTTAAGATGGCTCCATAAGGTAGTATGACAACATAAATTTTTATTGACTTTTTAAAGCACTTTGCTTAGTACAAATCAAATGAACCAACTCTTCTTGTATTTGATGGAGCATCTAGCCACTTGGACTTTACAATTGCAACTACAGCCGATGACCTTAACATCAACCTCTTTTGCTTGCCATCAAATACGACTCACGAATTACAGCCCCTAGATAAAACTGTGTTTTGATCCTTTGAAGAGCACTGGGACCAAGAACTTTTAAAGTACTGGAATACTTACGCACAAAGAACCCTTAACAAGGCGAGATTCAATATTATCCTTTCTCGGGTTTGGCCAAAATTCACTACGCCAGAGAAAATAATAAACGGATTTAGGGCTACAGGCTTATTTCCCTTAAATCCAGATGCGATATAAGATTCAGCGTTTGCACCGTCTCTAGTAACACAAAGAGAGATGCCGAATAACTTAAGGAAAGAAAATCACGAACAAAGCGATGTAGATTCAGTTTCAGAAGAAGATATTGATGACTCTTCAGACGAAGATAATGTACCTTTGTCAATCTTATCCCAAACATTCTTCCCCTGAGAAAACCGAAGATGCAGTAAATAAATCATTTGATGAATTTCTATTAATTCCTGTCAATAAAAAGGACGAAGTTAAGATACGTAGAAAGGCTATTAACTACAAAACACAGCAGGTTGCCAGAGATCTTTTTAACAGTGCAATTCAGACCAGTGCATCTTGTTCCACTTTTAAAAGTCCATCAACTTCTAAGCAATTGAAAAAGTATACATTTAAAGAATCTGTAAATCAGTCCAGTACATCTTGTTTCACTCGAAGAGTACCAGTTCCAAAATCTTCCAGACAATTTGAAGAGCCGACCTCTGAAGATAATGTCAATCAATCTTGGTTTTGTGTGGCTTGTAGAACAAGTGACCAGCTGGACATGAGAATGTGTATTAAGTGCTTTACGTGGTACCACGAGGAATGTATGAGCTTAAATTTCAATGACCTAGATGATTTTGAATTTTACTAAGTTATTTAATTCCTTCCAGTTAGTTTTTCGGTTACCTTTAATATGAAGTTTGTTAAGTTGTTACTTTTTTGGTGCCCTTTTTTTAAATCGTTTATTGCTTAAACGCCTTATTGGCAGTTAGTTTTAAGTTAAGCGTTTGTTAACGTGTTATTTTTCAGTAGTTTATTAAAATATTATTTAATATTTATTTAAATAATAAAATCATTTTTTTATTTCATTTCAGTGTTGATTTTGAGCCCATTTTTACACAAAATTAATTTCAGGAATGAAACCCATCACCAACTAAAGGTTATTAATATTTTTTATTGACGGCCCATATATTCCGATTTTGATTCAGGTGGCCCATAATTGCCTCTAGTACCTTAAAGTAAAACTTTGTGATGCGAATTTTATATGTATATTGATAAATAGTTCTTTTTCTAGTTGATTGCTACAATTTAAAAAAATATTAAATAACTCTATAGTAAAATCATTATAAAAACCTTGATAATCTCCTTGAATAGCATAAGCAGCAAACTGACTGAGCTTATTAGTAATCCTTTCGGCTTTCTTCACCTGTCCCGGTCGAACTCCCGGTCTTTCTTTATAAAAAATATATTGCAATTTAACGGTAAATATTTTCCCAAACTGATCGTACTGTTGAGCTCCAATGTCGGATACCGAGTAACAAGGTTGTAGAGGAAGTTCTTGAAAAGGATCTTTATCATCTTTCTGGTTGTAGAGTTGCAAAAGAACGCAATCGGGCAGATGTTGAAGTTTCACGAATATCTTCTTCCAAAATCTTTGTCCGGTTATTTTCTTTTTGTTCGGTTGGCGTAAGTGCATCTCCCAACCTTCTCCATCGAAATTTATTCTTGGGAAAGGTTCTAATGGTTGAGACGTGTCATCGTCATATAATGGAGTTGGTGGAGTTTCTTGAGAATCAGAACGTTTCATATCTCCAGCTAAAATTATATCACTTAATTTTCCTAAATCTATATAAGTAAAACTAAGTACATACCGTATGGAATATCATTTTGAACTATAGCAGGTTGTACTTCAGTTTGATTATCAAAAGGATTAAATCTAGGAGAGGTATCTCCAAAACTAGCTGCAACAGTTGCTGGTGGAGGAGCGATGAATGGAAGCACCTCAGGAGTCACATCGTCATTTCCTTTTGGCCTAAAACATTCTCATTGTTATAGATGTATATCTAATATAGAGACTATTTAACAGCATAAAAGTTATAGTGGTAGTCATATAAACAAGTTATACCACAACACCTTATACAAGAAATGTAATATTTGAAGAATTTTGTAATGAATTTAGGAAAATTTATGTCAAGACCTGGGAATGTTTATTATTTCAAAGCATATAATATTTAAGACACAAATTTACATAAGAACAATAATTTGATTATCGATTAATGAAGGATAATAAATGTACGGGTGATATCAACAACCATCATAAATCTGGTATTGAATAAATAATTAAGTGAAATTACAATGGTTAGGACCTTCAGAAAAAAGTAAAAGATAAAAGGAATATTCATATTTACCTAATAAAAACTGAGAAGTCTTTATCTTCATCAGATTCCTGCGAACCAGTTTTACTTATTCGATTAGGCGTACTTTGTGGTACAGTAGGCGGTTCCTGCATAGCTAGAAAAGCGTCGAAGCCGTCATCTTGTCCGAAGCCGCCATCTTGCCCGAAACCACTCGATGCTTCAGCGGTGTTGACAAATTCACTACCCCAAGCACTATGCGATAAATCATCATGTTTAACAGAGTCAAACTTCTTTTCAAAATCATCGAAATCATCATTGCCGCCGAATGCATCAGTATCTGAACTTGCGGGTGCAATTGTGCTGCTTCCAAATCCGAAACTGTCTAATGCTGGGACTGAAGTTGGGAGCGCGCTTCCAAAACCAAAATTATCTGTAGCCGAAGCTGAAACTGGAGGTACTGTTGAACTTTTACTCAATCCAAATACATCAGGAGCCGAATCGTTCACGAAACTCGTATTTGTAAATTGAGTAGAATTGTTTTCAACCGCTGAGAATCCAAAAGGTTCACTTTTGATAGAATTATTTTCAACTGTTGAAAATCCAAAAGGTTCACTTTTGATAGAATTATTTTCAACTGTTGAAAATCCAAAAGGTTCACTTTTGATAGAATTGTTTTCAACAGCTGAAAATCCGAAAGGTTCATTTTGGGTTGGAATAGCTTCAACAACAAAGTTGTTTATATTTTCAGTAATTTCCATTGGATTTTGTTCTGTGTTCTGATTAATTTCAGTTTTGAAATTATCATCTGTAGCATTTTGTTGGACTATATTTGGTGAACTAAAATCTTCAGTAGCAGCGAACGGATTAAATGTGACGCTGCCTACAGAACCTTTACTGTGATTATCACTTAAATCCATTTGTAAATCTTCTTGAGAATGTTCTGATGATATTAAAGTATCGTTAGTTTGTGTTATTGGCGACAAAGCTGTTTTGGGATTCTCAATAATCTTTACATCTTCTACTGGATTAACGGTTATAATTTCTTGTTTACTTTGTATCTCTGGTTCTATAATATCATCAGATAATAAATCTTTGACTGCCTCTTGTTTAGGAGCATTATATAAATTTAAAATATCTGCATTAGTTACTTCTTTTTTCTTTGGTGGTTCATCCACTCCAAACATATCCATATCATCAACGATATTAGATTTAATTTCTGCTTTTGGTGGTACAGGTTTAGATGCATGGCTTATTACAGCTGGTGGGGGAGGTTTTGGAGGACGCACAGGTGGTGGTGGTTTTGGAGGTTTAACTTGACTTGGAACTGGAGGTGGCTGATTAAAATCAACGACATTATTTTGCGGATTCTGATTTATATCGCAGTTGTTACTTTCGTTTAAAGAGAAGAAATCCGTATCGGCTGTATTGTTAGTCTCTTGAGGTTTGTCACTAACGTCTAAAAGATCTCCAAATGCAGGTTCCGGCGTTGGACTGGGAGAATGCAGATCTCTCATATTAACTGGACTTGGTGAACGGGTTGGTGGAATTTTTCCAAGCAAAGACGAACTTGTTGCATCCATTGCACCCATAACTGACATTAATAGATCTTGAGTTTCTTTAGAAGGTGGTGGTCGAGGGGGTGGTGGCCTAGGTGGCCCGTTTATATTTGCTTGATGTGAGTATTTTAAATCTAAATCGGAAGGTTTTTGTGGAGCAGTCGTAGATATTATCGGCGCAGCGTGTATCGGTTCTATTGTTGCTGGTTCGTTAAATTGTATACCGAATTGATCGTAGTTTGCGGTAGCAGGTTGTATTTCATGATCGCTAAATAAATCCGGAGCAACAGGTTTACCAAAAGAACCAAAATCTGTTATAGAGGGTTGATTGTTTGCCTCGGTAAACTGACCAAAATCTGACGAAACTGCTTGCATATTTGGTATTTCAGCTTCAGCCGGTTCCAATTCCATTGGATCAAAACTAAATGGATTAGTAGACATAGTAGTTGCCGTTTGAGATAGAAATGGATTGTCATTGAATCCAGAAGCATGATTAAGTTGATCGTCTCCATCATCGAGTAAAAATGGGTTAGATCCAGCAGAACTAGGTGATGTGTAGGGCTCTTCACTAAACAGAAACGGATTAGCAGCCATTTTGAATAAATTCGGATTCCAATAATTTTAATTCAGCACGACCTGGTTGTGTATTCCTAACACGGCTTGTGTCAAACGGATCGTAGTCTTCGTCTTCAAGATCGTCTTCGATATCAATGTTTAGTTCTGGTGCAGGAGACAAAGGTTTTTCAATTATTTCATCAGCGTTATGAACTAATAGATCATCAGCTTTCTTTACAAAATTATTAAATTCTTTAACCTCTGAGTCTATCAATTCGTTTTCTAGTAGTTTCAGTTCTGTTTTGCCTGGTAGAATATTAGATGCAATTGAAGAAGTGTCAAACGGATCGCGGTAGCTTAATTCTTCTAGATCGTTATCAACTGAAGCTCCTGGAGTTAATACTTTAACTGAAATGTCATTGTCAATTGCTAGCAAATCAATAGATTCTGAGACTTTACGAGGTTGAGGATTGGATATTTCGTTAATTGTTTTTACAACTTTATCTACCTTCGCTTGAGCTTCGTCTCTCGGATCAAAACTTTGGTCCAAGATACTTAATTTTTTTTCAAATAATTCGCTTTCTATTAGCCGTAGTTCAGCTTTTCCTGGAGCAACGTTTGCAGCAAATGATGTATCAAATGGATCGTCAGACACCGGTAGTTCTGGTATTGAGGATTTTCTTGTATAAAAAGGCGTAAGGGGCTTTATAATTTTCGATTCAACGCCAAGCGTATGATGATCTGGTGAAGGTAAGTCAAAAGAGACTGTTCTGTTTGCAGAAATATTTAACACGTCAGGTCGAGAAACTGTTCTTTCTCTAGGTATTTCATCAGCTCGGGGGTCAAAATCATCGTCACTTAAATTATCATCAACTTTCCCAGCAGGAGAGATGCTAGAAATATCGGGATTGCTTGCTCCAAGGAGATCGACTCCTGTAGTTTTATTTAAATTTGGATTATTTTCTGAAATAAATATATATTTTTTTACTAAATATATCATTTTTTTTATTTAGAATAAAATTAAAATAAAAATTAAATTAAGTTTATATCAGAGCTGTGGTACTGATTACCAAAGTACTGATTACCAAAGTACTTCTTTTTAAGTACCACATAAAATTCGTATACTGGTATTTGAGTACTTGAATTTGAATTTTTAAGTAAATATACCTAATATTGATATTAAAATTAAAATATCGGTATTTTAAATATGCATAATTTCTTGTACTTAAACTTGGGTACCAAGTTTTTTAAAATATAGATATTTGAGGAAATACATTATATACTTAATACTAAGTACTTAAATTATTGATTTTTAAGTGCTACTTAAACTAAATACTTTAATAATTAAATATTGTCGGTACTGGTAATTGCACTTAATAGATTTATAGGTACTATCTTTTATTGGTACTTGAACTTTTATAAGTATAATAATAAATTAGTATCAAATTGTACCTGGCTTACTTTGTTGAGTAATTACAGGAGCAATTCCATTAACTGGACATTTACTTGGCCTTGGTGGTCTTTTTCTTTCTGTAGTGGACACTTTTTTGTCATTAGAAATTGGTATAACTTTTTCTACGAACGCTGTATCGAACGGATCATCTTCAACGTCTTCTTGATCGGATTCTGGCTTAGGTTCTCTGTAAGATTATAAAATGAATTGATTTTAAATTCGTTTAAAATAAACAAGTAGGTTAACGTGACCTAGGTTAATTTATATTAGATAAGGTATCATGAATTGGTATTTATATATCACGTTAATAGGAAGTAAGTGTTACGTATTAAAAGGTTGACGGTTTGACTGCCGATTAATATAAAAGCGTGAACTAAAATAATGGAATTTTCTTTAAAAAAAACATTCTGTCACCATTAGCAACCATATAACATTGCTATAATATTTAGAGAGTTATATTTTAATAATGATATCTATAATTTTATATAAGATAAATAAAGTTATATCACGAAAAGCTCTGGATAATATCAGAAAAGATCAAAAATCCCTTAACAATGCATCGAAGTATTACAAAATTGTAAAATCCACACTTTTTGACAAAATTAAAGTGCAAAAATGAAAAAAAAACACGATGCACTCGTCTTTCAGATGAAAAAACAAATCACTCAGTTTGCAAAGTGGGGATTTCCTATGACACATTGTGACTTAAGGTGCTTGCTAAAGAATTATCTTGACAAAAAAAAATAGCTCGCTTTAAGGAAAGATTTCCGGGACATATGTAGTTTTATAATTTTGTTAGCAGGAATAAAATTTAACTGAAAGACTTGCAGAAAATATTAAGACATGATTTGAAAAACTATAGGATCTAAACTCTCAAATTCACTTACTGTCCAAATGCTCCAAACTTGATATTTTCAGAGTTTACAACAACAGCATCAACCACCGGCAAGTTCTGAATAACAACTGGAGCTTTTGATAAACTCTCAGCAGCTAATGCTTCAAATTCGATATCGTCTTCGTCTTCTGCTTTGTTAATAGTATCAAATTCGCTAAGGAAGTCTTTCTTATCTTTGTTTTCGGAAGCAGTTACAATAGGTAGAGCTTCAGGATATGGAATGAGATTGTTCAAATCAATTGGTTCGTCGCCCAAGGGTAATGGATCTTCGTCTAGAAGAGTTTTTGGAATTTCTTCAGAAACTAAAATACAATTGCGTTTTTGTTCATTTCATTAATACATTACAGAAAAAAATTCAAATGTATAAAAATAAAAAAGTAATAAAACATAAATTACAATGTACAAAAAAAAAACTTACCATCAATGTTAGCTTTAACTGCATCAGTATATGTACTTTCATCGAAACTCCCTAACAGGAGGTCCTGTTGTTTAAGTATCTGCCTTCTATTTACTGTAGGTCTTTTTGTAGCGCAAGTCGGTAACTGAACCCTGCCAGTAAGTACTTCAACGGCTGCTCCAAGAGGAACGAGTTTCTTTCCTTTTCTTAGTACTTCTGGTCCCAAAATAGCTCTCTCTGCGTACGAGGTGTCGAAAGGGTCATCTCCATCGAGATTGTCTGTGGGAGATTCAGGAATGTAGGCTAATTTTACATCTGCAGCTTCTAATGCGTCAATATACGTAGTATCGAAGATATTATCATCCTCTTCCTCTTCAGATTCGGATTCTGATACTTCTACAATACCTGTTCAAATTAAGTTTAGTGAAAATTAGGAAAATATAACTCAATATTTAAGATATTGCACATTGTTTACGAGAGTCAAAATATTCTGAGTAAACCAATAAGAGAAGGTAGGATCTTTTGCCGACAGATTTCTTGTAAGTAGAATATTTTTTAACCTGCTGAAATTGAACAGTAAAGAAAAAATATTGTTAATCAGAATTAGTGATGAATATGTCCCTGTTCGAAAGAGTTATTATAAGTAAACAAGTTAAATCCAAATAAATAACGAACTAAAAAACCGACTAAGTGCGAGTCGGACTCACGCATAAAGGGTTCTGTACCATAGTACAAAATTTAATACTATGTAGTCTTAGTAATAGGGTCCCGTTGGTTACCCTTCGGGTACGGAACCCTAATAAAAACTAATAATATAATAGCAGAAAATCAAAATACTAGAAAATTAATTAATAATTTATAAATAAATAAAACCAGGTTGGATTTATGGGATATGCCAGTAAAGCCAATGTAAATATAATAAAACAATTCCAAAATAAAGTACACCGTGTAATTGTAGATGCACCATGGTACGTAAAGAATGTCGACCTCCACAAAGTTTTGAAAATGGCAACAGTCAACGAAGAAATCAAAAACATTGCAGCAAAAAACGAAAAAAGATTGCATGACCATGTTAACACCAACACAAACACCAAAATTGAACGAATAAACTCAAAAAAAACAAAACCTTGAGTTAGTGAGTGAATAGCATACAAGAATATTATATGAAAATAAAATGCACAGTAGTTCCCGCTTGGAATACTGGAAAATATGTCATTAGGTGAACTCTTAGTTTTAAGCAATGCAAATTTTATAACAATGGTAGTTTTTAAAACAATTTATCCTTGTCTACCTAATTCAGCTGCAGTGGGCGGTTCCCGTTCCTTTTGAGCTTCAGCCTTTTGTCTTTCTTCCGCTAACTGTTCCTCTCGAAATTTTTTAACCTCGCTATCGGTAGGTTTTCGTTGAAAGAACGAAGTGCTTTTGATCCGATCTAAATCGCCTTGGGTCTTCTTTAGAACGTCATCGACGCCCGATGTGAGCGACAAGAATTTTTTCCACTCTTCGTTTTGTGCCGCGGGTTCTTCGCTGGTACCCTGATGCTGTTTGCGGTACTTTTCTAATTCTTCGGGTTTGAAAAGTTCTTCTTCGCCTTTTTTAGATTTTTTCCCTTTTTTCTTCTTTTTCAGGCCTTTGGTTATCTTGTGCATTATCTATACGTAAGATCATGGGCATACCTAGAAAAAAATAACTTTTTTAGGACTTATTTTCCAATTATCCAAATACTGACAGTTTTCTTTAAATACTAAAAGAAGGGTGAAAAACTGTTTTACTCCAGACGTGCAACGAATATGTTTTGTACGAACGAAAAAATTAAACTGTTGCTGCATTTTCAAATCAAATTCAGGTTTGAACTTAGTTTAAACTATTCAAAAACTTAGTTTGGACGTTTGGTACAAAGAATTCGTTAATTTCCAATAAATATGTTTGTATGTTTTAATGAAATTCACCTAAATGGATGATATAAAAGTAATAAGTGAAGTTGATGGAGCAATTAATGTCTATTTAATTAATTGCGAGGGTCTTCAAAGTGTTGAAATGCAGCTAAAATAAAATAACTTATCTAAAACCAAAATAGCCTAATTAAGATGGCATAAGTCGTGAAAGTATCTTAGAAAAACTAATAATAATTCGTATGGAAATAGTAGTCTGTGATATACTCTTATAATTATTAGTATGATATATTATGTGATTATAAAGCCTTGTTTTCACGGTGACAGTACTCTCACGAAAGTACTCTCATGACATTCGCCTCAATAGAAACTGATGATAATATGTCTGAAGCTTTGCTGGCGTGTCAACAAGATCGGGCTCCTCCACATTGAGCCTCCTGCAAACGAAAACAGTAATGGAGGCCAGTAGTAGTACCCAGTAGTGGCCGCTATATGATTATTGGCTGCCATTCAAATCAAACGAGATTGATTTGAGTGGATACCAGAGGGCTAGTAACAAGGTTACGTGACCTAGTAGCAGTCAATACTGATTTTCCTAAAAGGAAATGGCCGCCAGTAGAGCGCTAGACAGTTGAGGCAAGTATTATTTTTTTATGTTTTTCATTTATTTTGGATGGACAGGAACTGTGTTTCTTGGCTCCATGACAAAACAGCTCAAAACAAAATGGCGCAGGATAAAATAGCACAGACAAAATAGCGGAGAATAAAATAGCGCAGGACAAAATAGCCCAGGACAAAAGTGCGCAATGACTATCAAGGAGGAATATAAAAGTAAATATTCTCTTTTCATATTAACAGTTTGAGTTTTTAAGGTCGCTGAATTCAATTCTCATGTCAGATTGGACAAATTGACAGTTGACAGCTGTCAATTGACTATCAACGAGGAATATAAAAGTAAATATCCTCTTTTCACAAAATATACAACATGTCAAAAATTCAGACAATTTGACAGAAACCCAATTTCCAAAAGATTATTGCGGGGTCATTTAACTGATTTCTCTCGCACAGGTTAGGTAAATTTATTTGTTTTATTTTTTCATTTCTTTTATATTTTGCGAAAAAACCTGCGATGGATCCAGGCCGCACAGGTTAGGTAAGTTAGTTAAGTTTTTTTATTTCTTTTTTAATTTTATGTATATTTGGTTTTTCGATAAATTGCTTTTCTATCAAATCTATGTTCGATCAATTGTTATTCGATAAAATGTTTTCGATCAAATGAAGACCTTGGCGTAATAAAGTTACATGCCACATAAAGTAAGTTTTGAGAAAATTGAGTTTTAACTTTGTTTTAAATCTGTCAAATACAGGGTGTTTCCGAACTTGACGTCCAAATTTGTAGGGGTGGTAGTTCGCATAATTTAAGGCCGATTCGCAGATTTTATTTTTGCAAAATATTTAAAATAAAAATAATTAAAAATTAATTAAAAATTATAAACAGGTACCGTCCTGCACAGCGATGGAATCACCTAGACACGCGCGCGCTACGCTTAGAATCGACAAAATTACAAATCGCATCTGTTTTTGAGGATTATTGCGCTACGCGCTCAGTGTAGGACCTGCTCTTTGATTTTTTTTATAACGGCTCTATTTTGTTTATTATAATTATGCGAACTACCACCCCTACAAATTTGGACGCCAAGTTCGGAAACACCCTGCATAAATAAAAAAATTATTTAAATATAAATATTACGAAAAATAGCGCCATCTTTCGGATTAGAGATAAAATAATTTATCAGTGGCTAAACAAGGATACTAGCCCAAAACATCAACAGATGTTTTCCTACTAGTCACTGCACGACAAAGGGCTTCAAATGTTTTCGATCAATTTTGTACCACCCGTAAATGCACCCCGCTCGGTAACGCACGTTTGAAAAAAAAAGCTTGGTAGTACAAGGGTTAATATGATTACCTAAACTAAAATATTCATTATATCAATGATTTAAAACTAATCTACTTAAACATACTAACTACTTGTAACTTTTATATCACTATTTCAATAGATATGATCTTGAACTTCATCTGCTGCCACCTGCCAAATTTTTACTTAACCTACCACTCTATTAAAACTATCGATCGACGAACTAAAAATATCTCACCTGGAATATTGTGCGCTTATTTTTTGTATTGTTCGTATTTTTTGTATTGTTAGTTGCCAATTTTCTAATCTCTGCTTGGATATTTAAGAGTCGATTATTCAGGTAACAGGTAACTGATAAAATAGGTTTAAGGTCCTTAACGATACAATAAGGATAGAAAGATAACTGCTCGCTCTATCTTCAAAGCGTAGGAGTTTTTATACAACGTTGCCATGTCTTGCTCAATCGGCTCAATTTTTGGACTTCCTGTTTTTATAGACTACAGTTAATTTTGTAATGTCTTCGAAATGAAACAACTAACTGCATATGCGTTGCCTATAGTAATGATCAATAATGGCAGGCTTTTTCTAATTTTGGGTGTTAAGTTTGATTTCAATATATAAGGCTTGGTTTTGAAAATCTGTTTATTTTAATTTAAATTTTTTATATATTTTTTTACGTTATTTATAGGTAAGTTGTTAATCAGCGTAAGCTGCACAGTTCTTCATATTATTTGTTTTTGGTTATCGTGCAATTTCAGCTGTTATCGACCACAGGCATGCGTTTTAGGAGCTTATAAGGAGCCTGCATTTGTAATATCGCGCACAACGCTTCAACTATTGACACTGATATTCCAATTAAAAAAGAACCACGGTCTAGGGCTTCATTTGTAGAAAGTGTCTATTTCAGCCCATCATACACTTTCCATATAATAGTCTTTTCATCTTTTGATATCAGCTTTCGCCTTCATAATTAAGTTCCACTGGGGCCTCTGAATCCATGACTATTGTTACATTTATTTAAAACTGTTTAATTATTCTAATTTTTATTCACTAAGTACACAAACTTATTTTATATCCAATTTATTTGTAATCAATACTGTAACAATTTGTTTTCACTCGATAATATTTATGTTTAAACTAACTTAAACGGTAAAAATTCTTCTATTTATATAAAAATTGCTGCGAACCACACTGGTCTCGAAGAAATCTAGATATTTCTCTAACGTATTAAATAAGTTCTGGTAACACATCCAGCGCTTTACAGCGCTTCCTTCACAATCTTCGTATACCGGCAGCCATCTTCGTCTAGCATAGGCGTATCGGAAAGGGGTTTCGGAGGTGATTTGCTATATTAAATATTCATTGAATAGTTTTTATAAATGGACAAGTGATGGCCAAAATAAGGCAGAGAGGGACTTAAGGGATTAAATCATGACCGTACTGATCAAAAATTACTCATAAGACACTATTGCAACAATTAAATTCTTCCATTAGTCTTGTTTTCATTGAATTTATAAAGAGATCAATATTTTACTATTATTTTTAAAAATATTTTAATGTCCTACTATTTAATAAATTTTTATCTACGCCCGTGAGATAAGAACTTCTTATCCCACTCATTTTGCGTGATAAATTTATTACCGTACGCGTTTTTCTTATCTCTTTCAATCAATGAAATCAAAAAGTTAACATACCAAAATCTATTTAAATTTAAATTACTGTCACAATCTAAAGTATTATTTTTAGAAAAAAACTATATCAAATGTTGGAAAACACAGATTTAACCTTTTACGTACATGTTTATATTGTTTCTTTAATAATAAATAAGCTTTAAAATTGTGGACTGTTTTTCGTATTAGAGACAATTACCAAAGTAAAATATACTATTATTATTATTAGGCTATGTATCTTTAACACATCCTCTTTGTTTATATAAACATCTTGACAAAGCAATTTTATAAATTTTGGTAACAAATAATAAATAAATAATTCTTTGATATTTATTACGCTCGCCTATGCTGATTATCTTACTTTTCGTCGAAATTTTCATTCAGAAACAAAAGTATTAATCACACATATGAATCATCTTCTCCAATATTTTGTTCGACTATAGTAAAAATTTGAATGAATTACCATTTATTTTTTTTTAGTTTTACACCTTTCGGGACCTCCCGTGCTACACCCTAATTTTTCTATAGCCTGGCGGCACTGCAGCCTGCGTTTTATTGCACCACCATTTTTTGAAGGTTCTACTACCTTCCCTTCCCATTCATTAATTACTCCCTCATTCATCGTCATTCATTCCACGTCGTCGAAGTTAAGCGCTAGTCGGATGAGTTCCAGTGAGTGACACGGCCCATGGTGGTACCTCCGTGTAATCACCCATCCACGACGTGACCGGATAGATCAACTCTTAACTGTTGCGAGTATGAATTACCATACAGGGTGTATCAATGATGTGTGGTTGGCAGAGATGTGAACTGGTAAATTACCGATAAATTACCGTGGTAATTTACCGTAATTAACCAGAACTAAATTGCAGTAATTTACTCGTAATTTACAAAGTAAATTACCGTTTTTGTGGTAAAAAAATTACATTATTTACCGTTATTTACCATTATATACGGCATTTTCTTGTAATTTACCATATTTCGTGAAAGCGACGCCAACCTTCGGTGAAAATAAGCACTGGATAACTGCTCTTCATTAAAACTTCCCTCAAGGCATCAGTTATCAAATAAATTGAATATGAATATGATCGTGTAAAAAAGACCCTGAACGAAAAATTCATACTGCTAAGACTGTAGGGATTCAAATTGATGATTGGTCTAATATTCGC